TATATATATATATATATATAACATACTAGTATATTGCCTATCAATACTATACTTTAATTCAAAAACTATTCGAAGTGGATTTTGGACATTAATTGCTTATATCATACAAGAACGGACGAGTGGAAAGAAAATGATACTTGAAAGTATCTATTTGAAGCAACAAAATTGTCCTGCAGAAAAGAAAGACTATTCATCATGGTGGAATCCGTCAAACAGTGGAATCACACAAACAGGTCTTACTTATTTTTTTTTCCTCCGATAGTTTATCAAAATTAGGAAGAGTCCCCGAAAAAAACGTGAAAAACAATGACATATTGCGTATGAGCCATACTATATATAATATATTATGAAATCCCATTCCATGTGGATATGTGCTGAATCGACATTGCATTGATAAGTATCGTTGATTGGGACACGTCGAAATAACGCACAAGCTCTCTTTTTGAATTCTGATTGCGCATCCCTTTTAGCGGCTACACTGTCTTGACAACGGAACTGCTGGTAACTGACAAAAACGTATGATTTGTAACACACTTTGAACACGAATGAATATATGCTGAGATCATACGGGGGCGCAAGACCGACGAGTGTACATGCGCGAGATCCTACGATTTATGCTTTACTGATACCAAATTCTGCCATATTATGACACGCCGAACGAGCGATCTATTTTGCACTAGAAACTACGTACTCCACGACTTCATGATTCTTTTCATTCATAATGCTTTTCGAGATATTACTCTGATTTAGTCAGATATCGACTTCGAACATATCCTGCTCAATCGGTTTTTTCACCCAACTTCCGAGCTGCGCTCTCACAAAAGCATCCTTCAATTGACGTTTAGCAAGCTATTTAAGAGGAAAGAAGGAGAAGAAACGGAATACGATCATAAGACTTCATCATTACACAAACACGTATCTAGATGCGTACAATAGGGGGGACCGGGGCTAATTGGCTAATAGATCGTTTCTGCTATTTTCTAAAAATCAAGAGAGCAAAGATTTCAACTATGTTAAAGATGCTTACGAAATCTCTATTTGCTCGATTCTATAACCTGTTGGAAAACAACAGAAATAATCAGTTAGCCAACTTACCTCTTTAGCTAATCAGCTCCGGTCTCTCCTATATATAGGATGTCCCACTGTAAGTGGTTACCCCCTTTTACTTTTTAAACTACATGAGAGAAAAAGAGAAAGAAAGAGAGAGAGAGAGAGAGAGAGAGAGAGAGAGAGAGAGAGAGAGAGAGAGAGAGAGAGAGGGGGAGAGGGAGAGATAGACCATAATAAAGATACATTAGATTAAGAAGAAAAAAGTGACCCTGATATTTTTATCAAAAATTTTTATTAAATTAAAGGGACTCCCACATTTATTTTAATCAAAGTAGTTGGAATCTATCACCTTTTGGCAAAAGATGATGCCTTTCAGGCAAAAGTTTGATTCCATGACGACAGAAAGACGGCTCTTTAAAAATGAAGCAGCCACTGACCTAATTTCGCACCTCAGCTTTGTCATCAAAGCGCTGTTCTTTTAAAGCCGTGCTGCATCGACTGAAACAAGCGGTAGCTGGAAGGTGATTTCTGGTGAGTAGATTGGGTAGAGAGAACTTCTCACTTCAAGTCCATCAGAGTGCCTACGGTTGTTTTCGTAACACGAGGTTGAACATTCAGTCATGTTGGAAGATGACCTTTCGTCGTTTCAAATTGTATTGCAGGCGTTTCTCAATCAATGTTGCCTCCGGACGACGCAATTAGTTAGAGCTAAGAAGTTGTGAATTGACTCGGTGGTAACGACTCATAATACACTACACCTTTCTCGTCCCACCAGACAGACACAGAGAAGAGAAGAGAAGTTTCTTGCCATGGATATTGCGTTTAGGTCGAACTAATACTCCAAGGTTCACTCACGTTCATTTGCAACTGAGATTATCAAAATAAATTCACTTCTCGCTCCCAATAACAATATGACAAACAACTCTTCCGTTTGTAGCGGTAAAGCAGAAAAACACAGAAAGCGCATCGGCTCGAAATTATTCCTGGAGACAATAAATGCGACGTTCACTTTCCTTCCTTCAGAATTTTGCCCAGAATCGGTTTGCCTTCAAACGATCTCAAATGCTCCTTTGGTTGCCTTGCGAGTTGTTCGTAAGTGAACCAAGCTAGATTCTATTCTAACAGCGCCTCCAAATCATTCATTTCCATCTTCACTGACCGTATACCGTCTACTTGTCTTGCAGCTTAAAGTCACCACTTTTGAATCGTCTAAATCATTTCTCACAAATATCTCGATTCGATACTCGTATCGTCCTTGTAAACTTCACAAATCGATCTTTTCGTTTCAGCAATATTTTTCTTCAAATTAAAGAATGAAGGAGTGCCGGATATGCTGCTTTTCTGGTGGCATTTTTAATCAAAATAAACAGACACAAACGGCAGCATAATATATAATATTGTCCTCGTTATATATGACTGCTGGAAGCCCCCAGACCTTATCAGTATCACAATATAATCTATCATGTGCCACTTGAAAGTAGGATAGGCAATCTTTGAAAACCAAAAGAAGTTTGCCAAGGTAGATCATTTCAGTTACTGTTATTGCCATCTACTGGTGACCCGGATCAAGCCGGAAACACATAGAAAACTTAAGCAATAAAATTTAAGCAGCAAGTAAGTTGACCACAAATCGAATATTCTTAAACCACAAGGAGAATGACAGACAATTGTGATTAATCGATGTTGCTCACCGCTTAAGTCTTGCTGCTAAAATTTTTTCATGTGCGACCTTAAGGTCTATGTACGTAAAAATGTCGTAACTGTAACTGTAAAGCGGGGTCTACAATGCATATCGTGTCATGCATCGCGTTGGTCTGCGAGAGAGATCATTGATCGTAAAATTCCAACGCAATTAAATTTTTTCGAATCATAAAATGATTCCATTATATCATGTATCATAATAGTTATAAACAGCACAAAAACTATTATTATATCGGAATATCCATAGTACCGTAAGAAATTATGCATACCTCTTTGATCTCTTAGATAAGTATATATAAGTATATATAATTATATACAATTACTATATGCTCATAACAGAGTTCAGTTAAAGACATTTAATACACATTTATTATAGTCTATCTCTCTCTCTCTCTTTCAGTTTAGAAGATAAAAGGGGGCAGAACAACTTATAGCGGGGGATACCCTGTATATATGTATATATATA